ATAGAAATAAATTTTGTGTATCTAAATCGAAAATAAAACGGCCGATGGAGGACAGGCCTACAACTACATCACCACGTGCATGCCTCGCGGCGGATATGCGCAGCAGCAAGAAGGTTTCGGTCATCCCTTGAGGGTGAGTCTAGCCGTGCTCGCCAGAAAGACCCCTCCCTTCACTACAACCCATGTCTAAGCAAAAGCTTGTCGAGGAGCGAGGGGAAGAAGGGTGGGTGCAGAGAAACAATTCATAAAGTGGGTGTCGCAATTGTTGATATTGGGTCTTGGACTGACCATACAAGCCCATACCCGGGTCATCCTGCGGGTGTCTCGCGTTGTGGAGCTACACCGCGGAGCAGAAGCTACGGGAGGGCCTACCGCGCCAGGCGACGGGGCCCTGAAACAGTTTCGGGCAGGAATAGCCAATCTGGGGAAATCTAGCAACGTGCGTAGCTCCTCGCTGCTGCAGCCGATCGCAGTGACACGCATATGCACGCGAAGCTGCTGAAGAGAGCTTCAATTTGCGCCGCTTTTTGGAAGAGCCCGTCCCCTGCTTCCCGAGAAATGACGGGAGGCGTCTGGACCCGAATTTCGAATTTTTTCCGTTCTCGCTCTCAATCGGAAACTTCGCTCTCAATCGTGCGAAAACCCTGTTGTATGCTATGTTATGTAGGCTACGAGTATGTATCATCGTCGTAAAGTGTAATGCTGTTGGTCTTTGTGTCTCGCTTTCGAACAGCAGATCTTCACTGCTGTGCCCTTCACTGTGTCGTCCTGTTGCTTAAACGCCGGGTGCTGTGTCTCATCGAACTACACTCGGTATCCGCAACATTCAGATCCACTCCTCGCGCATCTCCACCCCGTCTTCTCGCGCATCTCCACCCCATCTATCTTCTGTTCCTACACTTTAGGCCACAAAATACGAGCATCGTAACGACGACATTCGTAGGCTCAAGAGTGCCGTGGCTGACGTCTTCGTAAAACACGTTACGGGTGGTCGTGCGAGCTCCCTTGCTCATTTGAGACAGCAATGTGCAGATCTCAACACGACCCCATGCTTCGTCTATTATTATTGATGGGATTTAGAGCGCCCGCATTGCGGGATTCGACGTCTGCGACAACATTGACAACCGGAAATACTTCTCAGACTTCGAACGCGAGATTTATCCAAACTTCCTTGCCGACAGGAGGTATACCTTACCCTCAACGTCATGGGCTTCGTCGCTACAGCTTTGAGGAAGAACATCGTCGTCTGGGTTCCAGGTCGGGGTGGAGACATCGTCGTCCATCGAAAACACCAGGTGAGCACGCCGTGGTTCCGCCTTAGCCCTCACATTGCCTACCCTTCACGCCTCCCGGCTACCCTTGCATGCCATTATACCGTTGTGTGCTGTCGTGAACACCGCTTTGACCCCCCCTCCGCATTGTCTTATTCTCTCAATCAGGGAGCTGTTGCATCGATCTACTCAGGAACGGATGAGGCCAAGGCCATCCACCTATTCGTCTACAACTCAGCTGACCCTACCGATAGCAATGTCACCACCTGGGCCTCCTCCTGGTACGGCCACTTCGAACTTCTCCTTCCACCGGCTGCAGGGTGGTCTTCACACCTAGGCCTCACGCCTCGAAAGGGCGACGGTAATTCAAAGCGTGGTCCTACCGGATCCCCCGGCGCACCTGCTCCAGGAAAATGCCCCCCTTCCCAACAGGAAATGACGGCAGAACAGCGACAGAGGGAGGCGAGGAACAAACGACGCGCTGAGGTAAGAAGGCATTCTTTGACGTAGCGTTTAGGTTTGACCCCGTCGCCCTCGTACCCGTCGCATTCGCTTCTGCCCCCTTCTACTATTTAGGCGAGGAAGAAAAAATACCATGCGGAAAACAACCATCCGTTCTCGACGACAAACTACTTTCGCTTCTGCCCCCTTCTACTATTTTATATTAGGCGAGGAAGAAACAACACACCAAACCAGTCTATGCCTTTTTTGGGGTCAACCACTGGCAAGGAAAGTCAAGTACACGATTCTAGATGCTGTTTGGGGTCACAACCAAATAGCATTGTTGATGAGTCGTGAAAACAACAGTCAAAACTATTTTCGCACCGTGCGCCTGTTAAATTCGTCCAGCAACAAGAAATTGCAACACCCAAGCGCTATGTATGGTCAAGGAGAGCCAAACACCGCAGCAAGTAAGTCTGAACCTTGAAAGCAAGGGATTTGCAAATTGTCTCAAAAGACAATCATCTGCTCGTGAAGGATAGGAGACAGAAGGACAATCACCATGTCGCCGAGTTACTTACAACATAGGAACAATCTATCACATGAGTCTCGGGTATGTGCGGATCCCCTCGTTGTAACGTAACGCGTGTTTTCTCAACACGGCAGCGATGAGGAGGGGGAAACAATCATATTCACGAGCTGTGTCATACAACTAGGAGTAACCTAAAATCAAATTCCACTTGCATTCCTGCATTCCAATTAGAATGAGCGCCAATAACCATATTTTCATCAAGATAGATTTTCGGCGAACAAAAGGGGGGCAAAGTGGAAACCAGGATCGACTATAGGTATCTTCCCAGTAGTATTGACGCACACACAACCGTATAGATCCGGTGACCCCAGGAACGACGTTCTCGCGGTCTGAAGATCTTTACAACGAGAAGACCCTCCGTCTGCTGTGACCAGCCGGAGGGTAGAAGCGAGCCCAAAAAGCTCACTCTCACATTCCACCCTAGCAAGGCTGACTAACGTCAGCCACGCTTGGCCATTCCTTGCCACATTGCAATAAGAGCGAAATTACCTCCGTCGGGGAACGGTTATTCACCACTTCAGGGACCTTTACTCACAACGGAGTAATGGTATTCTCACAAAGTCTAATCTGCACATGTGTTTGGATCTACACCTACAGTCGTCCCCGCTTAAAAGACACCATGTTTAAAGACACTCTCCGCTTTAAGGACACAAAAAATCTCAGAAACATGGTGCCCCGCAGATGTGTAAAAGTAGGGGGGGTAGGGTTTTCCACCATTCGACCCCCCCCCAGAAAATGTGCTGCAGCACCTGTACATCCTGGATCATCAACAGCGGTCTGCTGCAGCCGCACACTGCGTATGGGTGTATGGAAAGATTCATTCCATCTGCTAGCGGTTCGTCTGCTGCCTTGGGTGAAGTCTCGTGAGGTTGAATTTGGCGTTTGTGTTGTGTTGTGCCTCGTTTTGACCTTTTGGGAGGCGCGGTGTCCTCTTTGTCGCTGTGCTTTCCCGACATTTTTGGTCTGTGTTTCTGCGTAACCTACATTTTCCTAGTGTCGTTGTACAACCTTCGATATTTCTCAGGTGCGGTAGCGAGATCTTGGGCAAGATATTCACGGGGAGGACAACGCCTAAAAAATAATATATAGCAAACAATTAAGCCCATATCGACACCAGCGCACTACCGCCGTGTACATGTACGATGCGTAGGTCGTAGAACACCATCGCTTTCAGCGTTTTGGTGGTACAGTGCGGGGGAATTCAAACGATGGTATGCAAGTATGTNGATCTTGGGCAAGATATTCACGGGGAGGACAACGCCTAAAAAATAATATATAGCAAACAATTAAGCCCATATCGACACCAGCGCACTACCGCCGTGTACATGTACGATGCGTAGGTCGTAGAACACCATCGCTTTCAGCGTTTTGGTGGTACAGTGCGGGGGAATTCAAACGATGGTATGCAAGTATGTATTGCAGCAGTGGTTGCGACCTTCAAATCACCTTGTGTCGTAGGTTTCAAACAACACCTCTTGTGGTCGCCTTTCTGCTGCGAATGCGCACCTTTTGACATATGTTTCGCCTTCATTGGCCCCGGGGATGGTGCCTTAGTGGCCCCGGAATTTCAAAGACACTTCGCCGCGTTGAAGACACTTTTTGGGGGGGGAAACGTGGTGTGTCTTTAAAGCGGGCTCGACTGTACCTGTGTGTGGCATCAGAAAAGATTAATGTGGTCTTGATCGTCGTTTCATGTCTCATCATGTAGTCTCTCCGCTGCTGCTGGCGTGACAACCCTTCTTTATCTTGTATGTTCACCTTCCTCTAGAATCCTGTCAAGATGCGATTGATACGACAGTTTCGACCGCGACCAACTTCCCCAATGGGTGCTGTGTTGGCACTCTGAAAGCCTAAGCCCACCCCCTCACCCCGCACCCACATTGAAGAATAGGCAGCGCCGCCACGACGCGTACCAGCGGCTACAGAAGATCGTACCGCGGCCAACCGCGCCAAGACTTTACAAGTCATGTGCCGTCAATACCCCGCCGATCAATCCCCCATCAAGCGCGTCGCTGGCAATCGGAAAATCACGGACTTTTTCCCGAAGCGCCCAAGCGCACCAGAGTTGCGATGGCGGCAGCGCCGCCCGCCCACGCACCGCCGCTACGTCTCAATCAATCCTTGTTATCCGCGACAATTTCTACGAACGACGTCATTGCATCGGATGCGCCGCCCTCACAGAGAAATCGCGCGGATTTTTGTTGTGAAAGACACACTGCAAGGACAAAGCAATATCCCACAAACGAAAAATATGACGGCCGCGACCGGAACAACGCAACATTGTACTTCATTAGTCTGGGGTTGTCAACACCGCCGTGGTAAGGCAATTATCATCGTCGTAGATACTCGTCCACCGAAGACTCTCCGGACGTCCGAACTCTTCACGAGCCATCTCGCCTCCAACACGTAAGTGAACGTCGGTTTCTACACAACACACCGAGATGTTCAGATGCTGGCCGAAATCAATCGTAGTCGGCAGCCATTCTCGATGCAACATCACCTACAGGAGAGGATGTACTTGCGATGTTTTCATGCGATCTCATCGCTCCCACGCACGAGGCGATCAACAATCCCAACATCTGCCTCTTTTCTTTCGTAAAGGCCCTTTTTGAAAGCAATGGAGACAAGAATCGCAGACCCTTTCTGTTGTTTGCATGCTCCGTTGGTTGGATCGGATCCACCATATTCATGCCCGTTCCGAGCAGCCAACCAAGGTAAATACATGCCGCAGGCCCGTTGGTCCCGGGGGTCGCGGGGGCGCAGCGAGCCAGCCACCCTTGGGCAGGCGTGCAGTTTGCCGAGGTGTGAGAAACTCGGTGACGTTTGTTTGAGGGGTGAGGACTGCGGAGGGTTAGCCGGCTGGTTGAGCGTCTTCAGAGCACTTGTTTTCATGGGGGGGGAAGGGCGGCGGTTTAGGGAAGGCCTTGTCTAGAGGAACTCAAGCCGTATGCATACCGTCGTTTGTTTATTGTGTTGGAAACGTTCACCTCTAACCTTCGTTCTAATCCTAACCCCAGCCCTAGACACACACAGATGTCGAGGATGGATGCGGACAAGCCCTCAAGTCTCGTGATGGTGGACATGAAGTTGCTCATGAATTTCTGCAGGACTAGTATAGCCGCTGGGAACGAATGATTTCCCATCCATATACACATTCCGTGTACGTATGTCAATTCTTCTGTACATACGATAACTTGGATTTACAACAATCAAACCTCAGGCCTGGGAACGAAGTGATTTATCATTCCATGTACAACGTACGTCGTTTTTTCTGTAAAAAACTCTTGCTTGGATCTATTGCAATCAATTTCAGGCCTACGAAAACAACCAACACACAATAAACTTTTGTACCACATTTTCTTATCGCGGGGACGCATGATGAAACTCCCGATCAGTCTTGCTTCAACTCCGCCGATGACGTCCCGAACGAGAATCTGGACCACCGCAGCTCTAGGGTGTCAAAACCGCCGAGCGAGGTGACGAGGGTGCACAGGCAGCACGCCGATGCCGCTCCCGCGTAGAAAACCTTGCCGCCGTACAAGGCCACGAGGAGGAAAAAGGCAACGAAGAACACCAGGGCCAGCAACCCGCTCCGGGAAGCTTCGTCGTCGTCGCCGTGCTCGTCGAGCCGGCCGGCTTGGTCGAACGATCGCGGGCCCTGGTGGAATTCTCTTAGTCGCTCTTCCTTCTCCGTGAAAGCCTCTCGGCACCACTTCTCACACAACAGAGAGGACGACGAGCAATGATCGAGACACCCCAACGGAAGGAAAGGCGAGTCAAGCGCCCGATGTGTCTTCCCGACAGGGCTGGATTCAAGACACATCAGCCGTGCATACACTCCAAGCGCACTACGAACGCATTGTTACTTGTAGTGCACAGCTCGAATAACCAACAATTCCGCCGCGTGGGAGTATCAATCGGAACCGCGTCACATCGGCGGTGTGCGACCGTTCAGTATGATAGGAAACATGAACGAAAGTGTGTACAAGTACAGACGATCAATTTTACCTGTTGAAGGCCCTCGTCTTCTGTTGGCAGGTCTCCGACGGCGAAACGCGTAACGTGCATGTGGACCTCCTGAGGGAAACACCCTGTCAACGCGATCGCACCGAAAAGAGAGCCCAAGTGTTCTTCACGTGCATGAAGGAGGAGCGGAGTTCGCACGTCAGGGCAAGAAGGAGGAGCCGCCGCGAAGAAACGTTCACGTTGTGGAAAACATCAAACGACCCACGCAACAGTCAAAACACACCGTTCGACTCTTCTAGAAGAAAAATGACTGCTAAAAACCAAAACGTCCCATGCTTCCTAGGTTTTTGAAAATTAACGCGGAACCAACCTGGCGTCCACCATCATGCACGCCGTCAAATGTCATGCACTTTGATGTACACACTGCGATGTATTCCTACCTGCAAGCATCGTGTTTTCTGACGGGGGACCGCCGTCCTTGTAGTTGTGGTACGCAATCGTGACGTCGTGCACGGCATCGAGGCCTGGCCGTAGGGCCTGCATGCACTCGGAGAATCCCCTGACCTGCATTGCCGAGCGCACACCCAAGTAACAAATATTTTAGTGCAAAATCGCAGAAAGAACAAGAAAAATATATCGTGTCGAGCACCGCATGGATTAATTCATAACTGCTTCGAGGTGATTGAAGTTTTGGCGTATGGTCATGGCATGTGTGACGTCAGCCCGATTGCACCGGGAGGCAGAGCCGTGAGACCCCACAACACCCGCTCAAGCACGAAATGAGGCCAATATATTCTAGACTCTTACCAATGGATAAGGGATGGATTCATACCAAACAAAAAACTGCATGTGCATCACCGAAGCCATCGAACCACCTTCGGGTGCAGCACGTACTGGTACTCGGCGAGCCCTTCCTTCTTGGCGAAGGCGAGGCTCTTGATGTGGTTGTTCGGGCTCAAGTCTGTGCCCTCCGGGAACAGGAGCAGCGTCGTGGGCATGTTGAGGCCCACCAGGTAGTCGCTGATCTCCCTCACCCGCTGCAAGTCCTTGGTCTTGTCTCTCTTCAGGAACACGAAGAGCAGCATCTGTTATGATGCCGCGGTGCATAGGACCGTTCCCGGCCGAGCAAATATCCGGCTGTCAGCAACTAACGTTACACGTGCTGTGAGCGCTGATTTTCAGTGAAGAAGAAAAAAAGGCAACAAGAATAGACCAACAACAACAACAGCGAAGCTTCGCCACCTCTCTGCGCGGCAAGCAAGCTTTTCGTTGGTTGAAACCTTCAACTCAACTCACGTCCTCGAGAATCTCGCAGCTGCATTTGTATGGTATGTGTCCTACTCGATCGAGGAGTAGCGTCGAGTGCCCGGGAACTACTGGCCAAACAAAAGCACCACAGAGAGGAGACGAACGACAGCATAGCGGGATCGATCTACTGGACTGGCAAATCGAAAGCACCAGATAAAAAATGACAAACAAATGGCAAAACGCCTGAGGTTTTCGGACTGCCTACACGCACAGGAAAGAAATTTTATCGGGCAGGCCACGCAGACCGTAATCCTAATTTCGTCGATTCTTACTTTTTCTAGTGTGCTTGCTTGCTCAGAAAACCTGCGCAGACTACCGAGGGATTTGCTCGCCTGGGTGGCCCAACCGAACCCTGGAATTCCCTTGAGCGATTCCTTCAAGACGATCTTCAGGCTAGACAGCTGTCCTTGTCGCAGACACAAGCACCACAGAAACATCCAGTCCACCCTCGTACGGTGGTTGCAGATGATCAAGGCGGCTTCTCCAAACTCCACGCGGTCTCCTGTGATTTTCACCTGAGCAAGGGCAATACAGATGGCGCTCGCACTTAGGAACTTAGCAGTTAAGAAATGCAGCGTCAAAAAAATCAAACTGTAAGAACTTGGCCATAAGAACACGTGCTTAGTTCCGACGTTGTATTAAGAACAGTAACCCGTATTTGTCGTGTGCCAAAGCGCTTACGGGTAAGAACAGACTCCCAAAAAGTGGCAGCTGCAAGATAAGAACTCATGAAGGTTGTTGTTGTTGTTGTTGTTTCTCACATTAGCTCTAAAAAACAAAATTGGGAGCCCGTGGTCTCAAAACCCGGCATACACGACCCCACGAAGAAACAGAAAAAAATAGGGTACAAAAACCACTCGGAAGAGAAACAAAATGATAGAAAGAAAGACCAGCTACCG